GACCAGCTGGCCAACCACCCATGGCTCCTCTCCGAGGCTGCTGGCCCCTGATTGGCACTCCCACCCACCCCATTCAGGGGCAGGGCCAGCGGACCCACCGCCCACAACCCCTCCCCATGGCCGGCCCCACCCCTAATCAGCCCCCCAACCCCAATTGGGGGCAGGGCCTACTAACCAATTGCCTGAAGCCCCTTCCTCCAGCTAGCCCGGCCCTGATCAGGGGCCCTGATTGGGCCCCGATCTGGGCAGGCCGGTCAGCCAACCTCCCACCATCTCCTTCTCCAGACAGGCCCAGCCCCGAACCACACTGATTGGGGCCCGGCCAGCTGAACCCCACCCATGCATGAATCCATACACTAGGCCTCTAATTTGTTAATAAGGTCACATGATACCACACCATCAAGAAAGACCATTACAGGGTGAATCTATATAGTATAGACAGACCACCTTGGGGTTTGGCAGGGAAACTCAGTCCATGATTCAGAGGAACTCTATTTCCGCTGCTCCCTTGGTGCAGATATCCCATCCCCCTCCGGGTGAGAGCGTGTTTGTGCTGAAGTGGATGTCAGAGCTCTCCCTGGAACACTGCTAAACCTTAGATTGATGGAAGTAATGTTGTCAGGCAAAGTGCCGTGAGAGCAAACAGTGATACTAACACTTATTTGTCTTGTGACTTATCAAAGTAGATGTATTGCTTTATGACTATGCAAATATAACCTCAAGGGGCTAAAGAAAAGCATGAAATACTTCCCTTTGCTGACCCCCAATTAAGAACTTCTGCTTTTGACATGTATGGACTTCACTTGAAATGAGGCTCATGTGTATTTAGATTCCATTTTTATTTTTAATTGCTATTATTCAATTTCTGGAATATTCTGTGATATTTGTATCTGGGTATTATCTGCCTATGTGCTGTAGTGGCCTTACTTTTTTCTCCTTAAACCAGCTTGAATCTTAAAACTTAAATTGTGAGGTTTTTTTTGTTAGAAAACGATAAATATGAAAAGATTTAGACCCTTGAATATCTTCTTTGGTGCCTTGGAAAAGGAATTTGCAAATTCCTTTTGGGGTTCTGTGTTAGTGTCTTTCCTACTAGGTTTCTCAAGAAACATCTGGCCTATTCTGAGAGGAAACTGACTTGAGGCAAAGTGGGCCTTATGTCAAAGAGGTAAGGATATGGCCACAGAATGATGTTCTAAGAAAACCCTAGAAAAGTGGTTCTCAAACTTGGCTGCACACTAGAATCACCTGGGGGAAATTTTTTAAATTTTGGCATCCAGGTCAAACTCTAGACCTACCAGCAACATCCCTAGGGGTGGGGCCAGGCCTCAGCATTTTTACCCCCCAGATTATTCCAGTGTGCAGCCCAGGGTGAAAACCACTACTGTCTATCTTCATCCACCTTTCATTGTATACTCAAAGATGATTACTCAGAGTTTGCTATCCGTTAGGGACTGCGATAAATTCTGGGAATATTGAGATGAATCATACATTTCTTGCCATTCTCCCAAGGACTGTCTTGTTGGGGAAAGATCTAATTGAATAAAGGAGTCAGCTCTTCTTTAACCAACATAATGCAGGGGATATGGGAAGGACATTAAGAATAACCTCAAATCATAGTTAAAACAAAATCAGCCAAAACAAAGCACAAAAAGATTCTAAAGGAAAATTACCGTCCTATAAAAAATTTTAAAATATATAACTAAATACTGCACGAATCTTAAAACATATATAATATTTTGTGCTGAAAAGAGCCACTCTTGAAACAGTCTATTACTGTTATCTCATTACGTAATTGAGTTGGTCAAAATCAATGTAGAATTGTACTGTCCAATCCAAATGGCAGGCTCTAGCCACATGCGGCTGTTGAGCAATGGAAATGAGGCTAATCCAATTTAAGATGTGTGTAAGGCTAAAACACATAGCAGATTTTGAAGACTTGGTGCAAAAAAAATAACAACACATTTCATTTCTGTTTCTTGGGTTGGTGATATGATAAAATTATAATATTTTAAATATATTGGGTTAAAAACATAAAATGCTAGTATTAATTTACCTGTTTCTTTTAGTTTTTAAGCATGGCCATCAAAAACTTAAAATTCTATATGTGACTCACATTATATTTCTATTGGAAAGTGCTAGTCTAGAAGACATGGTCCCTTGACCTTTCTCATCTCATTCTTTCACTCTCCTCTTCACTTTTTAATTCTACCTTCTTCATTGTGAATCCTAGGTTATGGGAATGCAGTTTCATAAGCTAGCCCCTCCCCACTTTTGCTCTGGGTCAGGCCATCGTGTGGCTCTCAGATGGGGTGCTTAACTGAAAAATATGCCAGCATGCAGCTTCACCTGACTACTCCTCTGTGATTCAGGAGTGAGTGAGGCTTGGCCAGGTTGCAGGATATACAAATGGAATTTTTATTTTATTTTTGCTTCTATGGAGTTCTAACTAGTAGTCCCTTTTCTTATGTTGATATTTCACTGACTCATAGAAAATATAGGGTTTTCCATGCATAAATAAGAAGCATTATTCACCCTGAATAATAAAACTTTAGTGGCAGTTATCATATAGTTTAAGTATAGTATCTCATCTAATATGCCATTCATTGTAAGAAACATTATTACAAGTATTACTAATAAAGAAAAATTGCTGGCAATTAAACCTCGATGTGTCATAGATTGTATGATGTATTGTAATATCATAAGTGCTAAAATATGAAAATTTTGAAGTTGATGTAACATGATTAATTAAACATACAGAATTAGAGAGGAGGAATGCCTAACACTTCCAGGTAAGTCAGGGAAGACTTTCCACAATGACAGTGATAACCAAGCTAACATTTGGTGAGTGCTTCTGTATGCCAGACACTATGGGAGATCTTCTTTCCTATTAGTCCTCATGACAACCCTCTGAAGTAAACACTATTATCTTCCTGTTGTACAGATGAATAAATTGAGGAGGAGGAATTCTCAGCTGACAAATTCTGAAGGGTATTCCAGGCAGAGGAAAACACTACGAATCTCAGGATAAAAGACATGACATGTTTGGTGAATGGCAGTTGACTTGGTGTAGCTAGAGTATAGGGCACATGGGAAGAACACAAGACCAAAAGGGAGAGAGAGTCACAATATGACTTGCTAAAGAATGCGAACTTTGTCTTACAAGCAACAGAGAGCCTTTGAAAAATAGCATGTGTGGGGGTGACATGGTCACCTTGGGCTTTTTTTTGTTTTGGTATGTGGGATCATATTGCTTTTTTGTTGTTAAAAATACCTAAGAGCAATATAAGGAATACTTGGGACAGTAAAAGACTGGAAGCCAGTCCATCAAGCTCTTCTGAACAGTAGTCTAGGCAAATGATGGTAAGAACTTGAGCAAAAGCAATCACAGTAAAAATGAGAAAAGAAGGGACATTTATAAAGCTTTTAGTAGTTAC